TGGTTGTGGTGATGGTGATAACCGTGATTATTGTAAAGGTGGTGGTGACAAATCTGCTGCTGGTGTTGATGGTAGAGGTAATGGTGGTGGTGATGGTAGCGGTTGATGGCGATGGTCATTGCGGTGGTTGTGGTGATGGTGATAATCGTGATCGTGGTAATGGCTGTGGTGACAAAACTGGTGGGAGTGATGATGGTAATGGCAATTGGATGCCCGCAGGCCGAGGAGCCCTCCCGCAACGCGACCACGAAACCTCAACGGAAGATCCACCTCTCCTGGGGTGAGGCTGCCAACAATTAGATTAGATTAGATTTATTGCTAATTCTGCAATCGAAATTGCAGGCAGAATACACTAACTTAACACTACAGAGTGTAACAACTTTGCAAAATTTACAAACTACCTTATCATTATTATTATTATTATTATTATTATTATTATTATTATTATTATTATTATTATTATTTGCTGGAAAGTTGATCCCGAAAAATTACACATAAACGTGTAGTGAGGTCAGTAATGACCTTTTGGCCAATGATGATGATGATGATCGGATAGCTGAGATTGCTAAATAGTGCCTTGCTAAGTAGGTTTCGGACCACACGTTCCGTGTTTGAGTCCCGGCTCGGGCACGGGTGTATGAGTGTGTTAATTCACCCCTCCTTATCAGCATCATTTCGTCTCCCACCATACCCCCCCAGGAGCTAACAATTCTGTGGAATAAAAATGGACTCAGCTAAAATACTAGTCCACAATTAAATGTTGCATGCACTTGCCAACGCGATAATGATACTGAGCCACGGTAAATGCAGGATGCATGCATGCGTGGTCCTAGTCGGCTGATTCGCGAGCAAAAAAAAAATCACAATAGTGTAATTGGGCGAACGGGAGTAGTTGCCCTCGTCGACAAATACTGTGAGCTTCATTTTAACATTTATATGAAACTAGTGGTCTCGTCAATGATTCGCTATTATTATTATTATTATTATTATTATTATTACTATTATTATTATTGGCGTAAAATGGTGGTGAACACATCACACAACCATGATCCACGATTGTATGTATTTTTTTCAGAATCAGCTTTCCAGCTGTATTCCTAAGTCCGACAAGGTTGTTATACCTTGAAGTGTGAATTACGAGAGGATAGAATGATAATGAGGGATGAAAGGATAATCATAAATGTGACCATGTCTACGCAGAACACAAGCCTGCAGCCTCCTCGGCACAGACGACGGCTACCGCAACCGTCTGTGCCATGTGGCGACATTATTATTATTATTATTATTATTATTATTATTATTATTATTATTATTATTATTATTATTATATAGGGTGATGATGGGGGGTGATTAGGATGATAGTGGGAGGTGGCAGATGGGGTGGTGGGAGGAGATTCGTGGCATTGTTTTACCATTCCAGCATTGACCAAGGGAAACCAGGAAAACCTCGGTCAGAATGGCCGGACCGGGCTTCGAATCCGGACCTCCTGTCTGCGAAGTCTGCGCGCTTTGCTCGGTGCTTCGCTATTGCTGGGCGTTAAATAAACAAAACAATTCAAGTTCAAAATCAATTTGTTCAACGAAGATAAACTATGTATTAACCACACATTTTAACGATCTATTGACTATACTTTTTTTACAAGAAGCAAACAAGCCCAAAATTCCCTATTTTGAGATATTTCCCCAAGTTATTTCCTACAACTGGTGCTATATGCTGAGACATTTCCTTTTGGCAAGTACCAAACACATTAAAGACCATAAACCCTAAATTTATTACTATGCACGTTTATATTATGAAGGTTTCGGCAAAATCTTGCTGCAAAATCTAGAATTTGGAATAGTTTGGTTCTTGTTAGAACCCCTTCCCTTGAACTACGTATTAAATGTTCCAGACTTCCTGCTTTCGAGATGATCGATCTGCAACATCGATATTACAAGAGGTGGAACATAGCGTGGCGAGTAGTTCAAAAAGCTATACATCTAAATCACATTTCAAGCAAGGGCCTATGGGAATGGCGTAAAGATCACCTGGACGATTAACTTTGCGACAAAAGCGCCCTCGCACGTTCGATTTAATTCAAACCACTCTTTAAATACTCCCGATACTAATACGAATTGTGGAAGTTTCAGCAAAATCGGTGGAGTGGTTTTTGCACTGACATACGCACGTTCCTTAGGATTTTTTGGCAGTCTAAGTCGAAAGATTCTCAAGTGTAGAAAATACTAAATTAATTTTCTTCCAGAAAAGAAGTAAAGCAGTTCGTTCCATGTAATTTATGTCACGGGAAAGAACCTCAAACTTAAATGACGCCTCTAAGAAAAATTTGAATAGAAATTTCCTGCTCAAAACAATACCCTAGGTTTTTGACCTGATAGCATTGTAACGATAAACCTGCATCCTGTTAGGCAGTGTATTACCTGCACGAAACCTTCCATTGTACTTGTTTCAGTCACGATACGTATGTTTTTCATAGGTTTCTAAAGAATGACCAAACGAAAGAAAAAACCAAACCATTTCCTGTAAACCAACCAATACGACGTCCTATTTAGCATAATCCTTACTACCTACCAAACAACATATTCAACATTTCTCTTGAATTTGTGAAATATGTATCTGGTTTAAATGTTTGCAAAATGTTAGTGAAATATAACGTTGCCAATGGAAGGAATACAAATGCGTTTAATCAAATGGCTGGTAAATGGATCCGGTTAACGCCTCGAAGATTACATTTATAGTATTAGTTTTGAAAGGTTACTTAAATTTCTTGAGTAAGTCGTTCAGGTGATGAAGCCGGGAGAGCTGAAATATGTTTAGGCATGTGTTAATAATAATATTAATAATAATAATAATAATAATAATAATAATAATAATAATATCAAAACAACAGCAACAATAAAGCGTATAATTTTATCCAAATAGAATCACATGTTTCATGTCGCTTCTATAATTTTTCGCAACCCTGTGTATAATATTCTTTATGTTACAATTGTTTAGAAAATGTTTTACAGAGTCGCACATAGACTATGTATGCCAAAAGGTTCCGAAATTAATTTTCTTTTGCAGTGGAAGTTAGAGAATACTGTTGCTCGTTTCCCCCTGACCCGGCCGTAGAGGAAAGAATAGGGGTAAGTATTTGACAACATTCACATCTTTTGGTGAACAAATCAGCATCATACGTGTGTGTGAATGATTATGTACTATAAACGTTGAAATATATAAATATGAATGATCAGGGAGGAGTATCACTTTTTGTCCTCCTCCAGACTCTAACGGAGGTTTCCCGTTGCCTTCCACTTTTGAGTAGTTGTCGTGTGATCATGAGATATGAATGATGATGAGATATGAAAGATTATGAATGAAACGAGCGTTTCAAGCGCCGAGAGTTTTGTCAATACTCTTCGCTCACAGAATTTGGAATTTATTTATTTACGTCAAAAATAGTTGAAAACTGTATGTGGCGTTCTATGGGGAGAAGTTAATTTGAAGTTACATTTATGTCCAGAAGAAAAACAAGGGGCCATCTCAGCATTTGCTCTCATTTGCTATAAAATGTATTTCCTAGATTATTATGCCATATCTCAGGCGAGAATGATCTTTTTGTCCTCCTCCAGACTCTAATGATGGTTTCCCGTTGCCTTCCACTTTATGAGTAGTTGTCGTGTGATCATGAGATATGAATTATCATGATGATGAGATATGAAAGATTATGAATGAAACGATGGTTCAGACGAGATACAATGGTGTAATGAGAAGTCAAATTAGCCCAATAATTTTGTAAAATTACCCAAGCTTCAAGTGGAACTCTAACCAAACGCCTTCATTCTCGCGTTCTTGGAAAATGTTTCAAGTGACTGCGAGGACAGAGTTCACATCTCAGTCCAAGATCTGCTTTGAAACTAGGGGAGTTTCTCGTATGTCTCGTTTCTCGTATTTCTCGTAACAATAGGGAGTTTTAGCGCAGGCGTAAGGAGATATCCTTAAACTTTATTGATCACGTGACTAACGCCTTTATACGGTCGTAATGAATAACTTTCAGAAGAGTTTTAGCAATTGCAACATTTCGTTATGCATTATAACAAAGGAAGCATTTCAAGTGTTGAACAGAGAAATTGCATAATATATCAAAGAGTGTAGGCTAGTGGTGAGACATTTAAAACAGGTTACGAGTCAACAGAACAACAAATATACATTGTGCATGGAGTTTTAGATTTTGTGGCCCTCTGTGATGAGTATGCAGTCTGAAATTTTGAACCGGCTTTACTTGAAAATGTAGGAAATACCTTAAAACAACGTTCCTTATGAGCGTAAGTCATAACCTATCGCAAATATATGATTTGAACTCCTTTTTCGATAATTTATTTCCTGTCACATCTCTAACATATCCCGTTAAGTCTTGCCAGCGTTGTGGAGTTGGTAAGGAATACTTGTAACTGCCTTACATACGAGAATCGGTTAACCAAAGTTGGAAAATTTCAACTTTTCCTGTTTTTAGGCGGCCATTTTGCCATTTGTAAGGTGACCGTAGGGACTCGTGCACTATTTATGATGGTATAAGGTCGTACCTTACCATTAAGGTAAGACGTTAAGACTTCAAGGTCCGTCACGTGACTGTTAGTGCATAACGCTGCTTACGTGTGGTGCTCACTAATATTCTAAGATTTTATTCGGCATTGAGCTCGGCGTAATTCTTTATCAATATAGTCATCTTGTTATGTGTTTGGAAACTTATTGCCAATGCTTTCCTTTGTTGCAGAATCGCATTATGTGTGGACCGCCACCTGTTAAGGTAAAGTGAACAAAATTTACGTAACTATATTTTAAATTACTTACATAAAGACTTTTCTTTCATTTTGCTTCCTTGTGAATTTTAAATAAAGAAATAATACACAAATATCCTCGGCCAGAGTTTTGTCAATACTCTACGCTCACAGAATTTGGAATTTATTTATTTACGACAACAATAGTTGAAAACTGTATGTCGCGTAAGTTAATTTGAAGTTATATTTAAGTCCAGAAGAAAAACAAGGGGCCATCGCAGCATTTACTCTCATTTGCTATAAGATGTATGTCCCCAGATTATTATGCCATATCTCAGGCCGAAATGAACATTCGCGGAATATGAATAAATGAATAAATGAATAAATGAATAAATGAATAAATGAATAAATGAATAAATGAATAAATGAATAAGATCGATCGATATCAGACTGAGTTACAACTGAATAAAGTGAATAACTGAACTCAGAACATGAATACAATGCACATAGAGACACTGAAATCAAGGACACTACCAATGACACTCCGAACTGATACTCAGTTAACGTTCGCATCGACACATAAGAGTGAACTGAAATGAATAAATGACACTAGAACGGACATATGTAAACCTGGAATCAAAACTGGCACTTAAGGACTAATTGTACATAACAGTTCGCACACAGAAGTTACCCATGAATAAATGAATAAATGAATAAATGAATAAAAATGAATAAATGAATAAATGAATACATGAATAAAACTGAATAAATGAATAAATGAATAAATGAACTAAATGAATAAATGAGATAAATGAATAAATGAATAAATGGAATAAATGAATAAATGATAAATGAATAAATGAATAAATGACTCCGACTGCACACGGTTGCACCTAACACTACGCATCAAGATAGACACTCACAAGATAAATGAATAAATGAATAAAATACCGTGCGAGTGCGCATGGATGATGGGCATGGATGGATGGATGGATGGGATGATGGAATGGATGATGGATGGATGGCATGGATGGATGGATGGAGGATGGATGAATGGATGAAATGGATGAAGGATGAATACACGAATACACGAATACACGAAGGGAAATGAGGAATGAGGGAGTAAGGGAATAAGGGAATAAGGAATAGGGCAAATCTATATCGCGGACATACGTAAGCCGGAAACTAGATAGGTCGTACCATAAGGGAAAAAGAGGAATAAGGGGATTAGGGATAAGGGAATAAGAGAATAAGAAACTAGAGAAATATAGAGAAAAAGAGAATAAGAGAATAAGAGAATAAAGAAGAATAAGCAGAATAGGAATGTCACCGCCACGCCACGAACTAGGACGCGGATTACGCACGATTAAACTAAAGAGAATACTGAGCTAGATCACAGAGAATGAAGAGAATAAGAGAAAAGGGACTAAGAGAATAAGAGATAAGGGAATAAGGGAATAAGGGAATAAGGGAATAAGGGAATAAACGGGAATAAGGGAATACCCAAAATGGGAATACACGCGGAGATTTAACCAGGGACACTCCAGACGAATGACTGGACACCAAGGGGAATAAGGGAATAAGCCGGGTACTGCGCGGATAATACACCTCGATGGGTAACAGTACGGGAATAAGGCGAATCACAGGCGTGAATTAAGCGGGAATTGGACTGGACACTATATAGGGAATAATGAGAGGCGACATCAAGATCAGCACGTCCAGGCGTCACGATGAGGATGCTACAACAGGTCTTAGTCGACAATATACGCGTGGTCAATGACCAAAAAGTATCCGAGTGACACACATATGACTCTACCAGTTGTGGCGCCTCATACGGTATGTGCTGTACCAGTCAATAGGGCGTGGGCCCACCGATAGCATCTGATGCGAGACGTCGCCACTCTCCGAAGCCGCATACTTTCAAATCGCCTGTCTAGTTAAGCGCATAGCTTCGCGGGAATGGCAGCCCATCTCTTCAAAGAGTCGGAGTAGCTGACTGCGCAGAGGTATCCAGTATCGTAGCGCTCGCTGAGCATGGTCACCGCAGTCGGCGTTCCAAAACATCCAAGGCGTTTCGCTGGGATTCAAGTCAGTACACTGAACTATCCCAAGATAAACCAGCCACAACTGTGACAGAGACAGTCCATACAGGGAATCGATATTGTCGTGTTATAGCTTGTCAACCCCTGCCCCCGACTCGCGCTCCTACTGACACACACAGGCTCCGTGACAGAAATGGAACATGTTTGCTGTCACCTACTAGGAATGAACAGGTACTCGATCGTGTTGAGAGAAGAACCAATCGCCATCGATCTGCTCACTACCTCGACTTCCAGTTATCACTGAATTGCTCTTTGCTTTCAACACGTGGAAATAAGAAGGTGTTTTACAAAAACATAAACGCCAGTTGGCAGACCGCTGTGCCATGAGAGTCAACAATCCCGACAGACACCGCCCACAAACAAGGCGGTGCCAAGCCCCCTCCCTTCCATGAAAACAACCAACACACGCACATAACATCATTTTGGAACGTGACCGATTCTTTAGATCATATAGTGTAACATTATTTTCCCAGCGTAAAAGGAGGAATTTATGGTTACTAAATTAATCGAAACAAAGCTTTGACACGGTAACTCGACCAGTTAATCAACTCATTGCGTTTCGCAATATTCCTCTTTTGAAACTAAACATTTTCAACTCAGTGCTGCAGCATTAATGAAAGTCACACGTCTAATTCATTCAATTTCATCACCATTCTGGACCAAGCGGGGTCAAACGACCCATTAACTGTTTTGTTTTTTGTGATTCTGGGGTGGCATAGGGAGAGTTTTCCGATTGCCCGTCACCTTGACTCGCAGTTATGTCAGATGCACAAGTGGTGTCTGTGTGTTCGCAGTGTCCACTGCCGCGTATGGAACGGGTAACCAAGCGCAAGCTTGGTGGCATCGTCTCCAAGTAAATGCCTAGTGCCGCATATGTAGCCAGTTATCTCGCTCTTCTTCGGGAATGACTGCTGCCCTCCCGGATCACGGCGACCGGCCTGGTTCCCCCACCGGCCCTTGGTCCCGAAGATTACGCCGCACACTTCACTGGACCACTGCACCCCATCGTGTGGTGGTCGGGTGCTGAGTCCTACCGATGGGTCAAACATTTACCGTCTTGCGCTGGGGCGGAAGGAAATGGAATTTAAATGCGCTTGCCATTAAATGGGAGTAGGAACATCATGCTTGCAGGCCGTGAAGGTGATCTGTGTCGCCCTGTAACAACTCCAACACGGGAACTTTTCCGGTCTAGAATTATTAAGGATGAAATGAACTGCGGACTTCTGTAAAGACGGTGTCTCTCTGAGCTGAAGTCGGGCGAGTGGTGTCGCTTGAAAACATCTGTAGAAGATTGGAAAGGATGAAGACATCAAGAAGAACAGCTCAACAGACAATTATTATACAACTGTCCGTGGAATTTGAAGGTTGCTGCGCGAATGGAAGAAGGATTCTGTTCAGCCTTGAAATAGAATCGTAGAATTGAAGATTGAATGGAATACTATACTCGAATTGGTCAGGAAGCTTGGTTGAATATGAAAGGATTGTTGGGTCGCTAGAGTCTGCTAGATGAGTAACCTTAGCATTGTCTTTTTTTGAAACCCCGAAAAAACTAAAATGTTGTATAGATCCATTTAGAAAGTGGAGTCCAATCTTGAATCTGCGATAACGTCTCAGTCGATATCTTTTCGTTACCTTGCTGGCCGACTACCTCGTGCGAGCCTGGGTTAGGGGCTGAGAAGAAGCGGAGGCTGAAGTGAGACGTGACATAATAGCAAGATGATTAAGAATGTCGCCTTGACCTGCTGGGTACTTGATTTCCCAATGCCAACTGACTGCGTAGCACTGGTAGTAGGTCACCTAGGTGGCGACGAGGGATCTATACAGCAGACTGGTTTGGTGGGGCGAAAGTACCTAGGCGGAGGAGGTACCGCGCACGTCAGGGCTCTCAGAACTTCAGTAGTGCTAAGCTAATACTGGCAGGATATACGGGAACAGGGGTTTTTTAAACACGATATTTCCGAACATAAATATTTGAGTACATTTTCTGTTGTACCTAGCGATAGGTCGCATAGGGATAACCGCCATTTGCATTCACCGTAATTAATCAATTCAATTCGCAAACCACATGAACACACCACTAACTCACTTAAACAAGTTATTTTATTTTTGTAGCAGCGCGGATTTGCCCCATCTTTCATAAGGCATTATTGCGATAATTAGGTTTCTGAGATCAAGGCAATCAAGTCAGCGAAACGTCATAAAATCCTCGAATACTTTTTGTATGCGAAGTTGAATATATAACATATGGTGATTGTCGAATGTTATGGTTCTATCGTGATGTATAAAATGACATTGATAAATTTACAAAACGACAATCTGTAAATCCAATACAATTGTAACGGCGGTTTCAGTACATTTTGTAAATAATTTGAAACTTCGGATAGAGAATTCGCACGACAATGTATTGAATTTAATTAATGCCTTATTTACATGGCGAGACTCGTGCATTCAAGACGCCAGCTTTCGTCCGACGCCTTCTTGCCGTCTGACCACGGGATGAGCATAATTTCGCTAACGCTCCTTTCACCAACTGCAGAGGAAGGGAGGTATTTCTTGGGTGAAAACAGGCTATTTGATTAGCTCAGAGGCTAACAGATTTGGGGCTAGAAGGATCTTTACAGTAAATCTACTAACACGGGCCGCCGGATTTTCCTTCCCTCCGCAAAAAAGGCGTTCGAATGACGCTTTTTGCCTTAAAAATTCACGTTTCGATCGTATTGAACCCCCAATCGGGTTATAACAGTTCGCTACGCCAACCGTTAGACCCATGGCGCGCGCAATGTACGTTCGTCGTGGAAAATGCCTGGCAGTTTTTTACTTCGTAGTTGCGCTCATCTCCGATCCTCAAGTATCCTTAATCGACGTTCATTCATCCTTCAATCTACGATTAAGCGACAATCCTTCTCAAGCTTCCTTCAATCGAAGTT